CAATACTTTGGTATCTAACTATCACTCGATATCATTGCTCCCAGTATTGACAAAAATCTTGGAAAAATGCACCCACATGCAACTATGCGAATATTATCAACAGTCAAATTGTCTGACACCTGACCAATCAGGCTTTTGTCCAAATCACTCAACTTCGATTGCCCTCTTAAAAGTCTGCAATTGCATTCAAATTGGCATGGAACAAGGAGACTTCACTGGAGCTATTTTCATTGACTTTGCCAAGGCCTTTGACACAGTAGACTATGACATTCTTCTGTAAAAACGTAATAACTCAGGTATTGGTGATCATCCGCTAACCTGGTTTCGATCTTGTGTATCAGACTGATTGCAATATGTGTCCATTTCCGATAGCTCTTTCCTTCTTCCAGTCACGTGTGGTGTTCCCCAAGGCTCCATACTTGGCCCCCTGCTATTCACATTATTTATAAATGATTTGCCTGATGTATGCAAATCCTCAACTGTACACATGTACGCAGACAACACTTTAATCTACGCTAGTAAACCAAATCTACCGCAGCTTAAGGCTGTGCTCCAAAACCAATTCACAGAGGTAGAAAAGTGGATAGCGCTGAACAAACTCTTCCCAAACACTGACAAAACTGTTACAATGATCTTTGGAACTTTACCTAAATTACATAAACTACAAAATCAACAACTATATATTAGAACAAATTCAAATAGTACACTAACCGCAGTCTGTTCTTTTAAATACCTAGGTATGTTGCTAGACCCCAATCTATCCTTTGGCCTTCACATTGAATAAATCTCTTCAAAACTTTACCTGAAACTATGTGCCCTGTACAGAAACAAATCCTGCCTAAGCCTTACCGTAAGGAAACAGATAGTGCAACAAATGCTAATGCTGGTCATTAATTATGGTGATGTAGTGTTTGCACCTGCATCACAAACCCACCTTAATAAACTTAATACATTATATAATTAGTTCTGCCGCTTTGTAGTAGAATGTAATTACTTTACCCACCATTGTGACATGTTAAAAGAACAAAACTGGCTATCGCTGGAATCCCGACGCACTCTTCATCTTTTCAGCCTTGTGAATAAGAGCTTTTCTGGGAAGCTACCACCCTACCTGAGTAGAATGCTCTCCCCAATTATTCCCACCTCCTATAAACTCCGCACCGCAATACAAAAATAAAGTGGCTCAATCCTCCTTTTCCTACAGAGTGCCGCAATTATGGAATTATGGAATAACCTCAGGATCAAATCTTCATTCAATCTAAAATCTTTTAAGAGATCTATGGCGATACACCTCAATACAGAATGCACTTGTCATGGTTGACTATACTTATTACCTGTTATGTGGTAAATTTATATATGTGTGTATGTCTATATAATAGTTTTTGTACATTGTATTTTTTTGTAATAGTGTACTCTATTGTAACAATGCAATGTTTTGTGGACTCAGGACATACTGGAAAATGAAAGAAATCTCAATGTATCCATCCTGGTAAAAATATAATATACATAAATACATATTCTCACATATCTTTCTATATCTGCCCATTTGTCTCTCCTATATTATATCCCACTGGTCTCTTTCTATCTCTTTCCTATGTTTCTCTTTCTCGCAATCTCCATTTCCCTCACAGTGTGCTTTCCTCCCACCCAGAGGGTACCCATATTATTCAACTACTAGTTTTGGCAGGTTGTGCTGGACAGAAGTGATAGCTATTGCTCTTTCTGTGCACTCCCTCGCAGTGCTCTTCAGTGGCAGCAATTCTCTGTGTGGGAATAGAGGGACAGAATATAGCTCCTCTACCAATACCACACACTGCTTCTGCACCAGGGAGTAGGCTGTCAGATCTCAGCCTCATTACAGACCTCAGTGTGTTTTATTTTGATATATTGCTTTAACTACAGTCACTCAGTTATGTGACTTTCTCTCGGGCACCAGGTTTGTTTCCCACCATGCAATCTCTATCTTAGAATCAAAAGAAGGCAAAATACTTCAGGGAGCCATCAGCAGATCCTGCATCTCCGAGGTGAGAGGAGCTTCCTTGCACTCCCAATCCCTAAAACATTCTGTCTGTCAGTATAACTTGTGAGCTGTGTCGGCTTCATGGTGTCCCTGATTGCCAATAACGCACAGTAAAAATTATAGAATCTAATTGTGCAGTTCAATGCTGAGCCTCTTAGTCAAGTCATGCAGCCATATATTTGTGTATTCCGACTCCACAAACAAGAGCTGTTAATCAGGTTTAGACTAACAGTTCCAGACGATAAACACTAGTCATGTAGCATGTACTTCCTGAAGGTGTTCTGCGTTATTAGGTTAAAAAACATTAGTCAATTGACTGTGTGCTTCAGTATGATAATGCTAGATGTATTTATGACCTTCATAATGTTAGACAATTAAGTCCTCATTTTATCTAGGCCATATCAAGGTTTGTTGGTATATAATCTAAATCATGTCCTGTCACTGGTTAGCAATTTGATACTTAGTTATGCTTGTTTCAAGGAAATAAATTATGCTATACTGAATTGCATTAAAAATATTTTTCTGCAAACTTTTCTAACAACAGTACGTACAACATAGTTAATTTATACTCCCAATGATAGATTTGCTGTCTTCATTTGCTTTAATTTTTTTTAAATGTTTACAGTTGCTTATACTTTATATATATTTATGTAGTTGTAAAGTATTTGAAATATGTAAGTTATATTGACACTCCATTAAATCAGCACTAAACAAAGTCACCAATAATATATTTACTACTGGTAACTAATCATTTAATTGCCTTCAATTCTCATGACCACACTCAGTAGTAATTCGTTTTTCAAAGCATTTGCTAGAGAGCGCCATATGTTTTGTTTTTTCATACTTTTCTCATTCCTATTCATCATATCTTTCCTATCCATTCTTTAAACTGGAATCTAGACAAAATGTTATTATGCCAAAATCCCCCCAAAATTTAAAACGGTTTTCTATTAAATGCCTCATTCCATTCCCAGATAAATATAAACTTTTCTTGAGATTATCGATTGAATTATATTTTACTATTTAATTTTCATATTGTATGCCTTTCACCAAATAATTTATTGTTTCTCTACTTCATTTAGAAACTTTATTAAATTAACTTGATTACCTAAGTGCATTAAACTCATATTATTTTGAATGTTATTTATAACGTGGCAACATATTCCGCAATAGCATACAACTAACATACGAGTAGTTGCAACAAGATGCGAGATGCAAGACCAGCTGGACATAAAACAGAGGATGTTGAGAACCTTGCTCAAACAAGATTGGAATCTAGTGTAAGTGAGATAAAAAGGTTTATCAGAAAAGGATACCCTAAAATGTATTTGATATAGTAAAAACTGGCCGCAAGGAGAGTTTATTATAAAATGGCATTTTGGACACTATTTGGAGCATTTAGGGAGGGTAATTATATACAATTCCAGGAAAGGAATGGACATGTTTTAGAGTACAGCCACCTAAGGTGCATCCAGACTGTTCTGGTGAGACCAAAAAGCAGAGCTTCAGTTTAAATAAAGAAAGATGTCTGGGCACTCAAAGAGCTGTTAGTGGGCAGTCTTTATAGATTCAAAGAAATGTTTTGATGCTCTGCTGGAGCTTTTATCAAGCATGGGGGAGGAAATGAAGAAAGCTAAGAGGTGTGGGGAGGGAGAGGAATAGAAAAAGTTTAGCATTATAATAAATGTGGCTTGAAGAAGTTTTAAAGAAGTAAGTTTGTAGTGATTGTTTGAAGGAATGGAGTGGAGGAATATAATGGGGCAGTGAAGGAAGTTCCACAGGCAGCCCTCCAAAAAAATCTTGAAAGTGAAGGTAGGAGGTAAAAATATCATTAAAAGACAGGTTCCCTAACAGGATGGATAAATGTTATTCCAAACTGAGATACAGTCAGAAAAATCATTTGCTGCAATCAAACTATTGGATTAAATACTCAACAGATGCTTAAATATTACCACCCTTGTTTTCCTCATGAATTTATTACAGGGAAATCTTATTAACATAGGTGTTTTAGTGACCTTGATAGTTTATGACGTGGACAGACATGTTCTCCTGTCCATGTATCTGTGGTTTCCCTGTTGGTTTTTTTCACTGAAAACTAACTCTTTTAAGTCATGGTTTATTTGATTTATACACACAGAATGCTGTGGGTCGTTTGGTACACATTATGAGAATTACCTCGCTGGATAATTTGCAAATGTATGAACCTTTGATGTTATGAAATGCGTCTGGGTTATAAGCTCATTATCTGTAGCAAAAGTGTGAGGACAGGGTTCGTGTCCCTCGTGTAGGTGGAAACGTGTCATTTACTGTAATTTTGTTCAGGTTTCTCCTCACAAGCAGTTACTTCAAATTATGAGGTTGTTTGAAAGATAATAGTGGAAATTGTGGGGATATTTTCCTGTGTCTTTCATCATTGTGTCTTGTTTGAAAGTTTAATGGTAGCTTACACAGAGCTTTACTTTTGAAGGTGGAAATGTATTAGCTTATGTTTGGTGTTGATTCGATAAACAATGAGCTGTGGTTGGTTGAAAGTCAACTTTTCTGTTTTTTTGTAAATTTATTTATTTTACTTGGTTTTCATTGATAACAGTTCACTGTCCAGTGGATTTAGGCATCAAACTCACCAGGTGTAGTTTTGACACAAAATGCTAATTTGAAATGAAATATTGTGTTTAATTGATTTCTATAAATGTCAACTGCCATTTTCTCAACTGTGAATTGTGGTGGAAACTGTAAAATATAAGCCATTAGCAAAGTTGAAAACAAAACTTGGAAGTTGGCAAATTTTTCAAGATTAACTTTTATAACCTACATATTCCAATTTGCCTGCCAGTTTACCAGCATCCACTGTTTATTAAACTCCCCCAAGTGTTTGGCAACATTTTACGTATATATATATATATATATATATATATATATATATATATATATATATATATATATATATATATATATATATATATATATATATATATATGTATGTGTTAGCAAATACCTTACATTACAGTATAAACCCCCAATCTCAGTATTGGGGTTTATTCACTAAAAAGATGAAATAGGTTGAGAACTAAAAAGTAAAATTTATTACATTGAACATTTATTCAACCTCAATTTCCATTGGCATGTGTGCAGTGTAATTCATTCTCATTAAAATTATGCAAAATAAAAAAATGGATTTTGGTTTTCAAGCTTCACACCAAATTATAAGCTTGGTGGGTTACAAAACTGGAAATAGGATAATTATGTTTGTATATGTATTCTGTGTAAATGATAACATGTAACCAGTATGAGTTAAAAAATATAAGTGCTAAATGTATGCACAGTTAATGAAAGATTGATTGGAGGTCACCTCAAATCTCCCTACCATGTGTTATATTGCTGTGCAAATGGTAGGTTGGCAAAGGCCCTGTTGTGGGCTAAAACATTGCTTTCATCTGCTCCAATATACCTGCTCACTTTGGATTTACCTTGAGTGCCTGGACCATAATTTATTTCCTGCAAATTACATTGTGAGGATTGGACAACCTCAGGCCCAGGTGCACCCTGGGATCCAGGATAGTGCTGTATCTGTTTTACTACCCTGATGCACTTTTAGTGATATCAGTATTAATGCGGGAGCTTTATCAAGCAAAGCAGGTGCTATTTTTGCTGCAAAAAGTTAACTTTGCTTTTGTATCTAAAAAAGAAATGTAGGTGCTAAAAAAATACATTTACACAGCCTCAAAGAATCAGTAGTTCTAATGTGAGGGATATACAATGTAAAATAATCTTTAACCCCTTAAGGACACATGACATGTGTGACATGTTATGATTCCCTTTTATTCCAGAAGTTTGGTCCTAAGGGGTTAAAGGAACACTAAAGTCGCCAAGACAGCTTGGCTTAATGAAGCAGTTGTTTGTGTATAGAACGTGCATCTGAAATCGCACTTCTCAATTCTCTGCCATTTAGCAGATAAATTACATTACATTATCCTAGCCACACATCCCCTGGTTGTAACTCACACAACCCGCATGAAAAAATATTGCTCAATTTTCAATTAGATGTAACTTTAAAAGTTTTTATCTTCTGCTCTGTAAATTAAACTTAGATTACACACAGGAGGCTCCTGCAAGGTCTAGCAAGCTATTAACAGAGTACAGAGCAGAGATAAGAAATTCTAAATGAAACAGAATTTGCAATAAATTAAGTGTAAACATTAGATGACTCTTTACAGGAAGTGTTTAGTAAGGTTAAGTTACATGCAGGTGTGACTAGGGCTGTATAAACAAAGTGATTAAACTCCTAAATGGCAAATAAACCAAGCAGAGAGATTGCAGGGGCATGATCTACACATCAAAAATGCTCCATTAAGCAAAAGTTGTCTTGCTGACTATAGCATCCCTTTAATAACTGAGAGAGGTCTCTTTTTATTAGTGACATATCATAAAAAGAAAGTACAGTTACTGGTCAGATCCAATTTATCATATATTATAGTTTAAGCCGTAATTATAGGTTATGATAAAACATATAACACACACATTTTAAACACAACATGACAGCAGATGTAAATATTCCAGAATTATATTTTTAAATATATATTTATATAGCAGCTAATATCATTAAATAAGTCATTCATTACCATAATCAGTCTATTTTACATCTTTAAGCCATAGTTAAATAAATAGATAATACATAGAACACATTTGTTAACGTCTCCTGTTGAAATCCAGGTCCATGGCACTTTCTTCAGATTCTGGAAAAGAATTAATAGTCATTAGGCATTCATAACAACTGACAGTGCAATGAATAGTCCACAATATAACAATTTGCTGCTTTAGCTCCTAACCTGCACAGTTTGCAATCTGTTCACAATGTTAGTCATGCACACTGTTTTCCCACCATCCAGAAGATCCAGGTAGAAGTCAAGCCATTCAAAAATGAGGACTACTGATACAATAACCACTACAGGATGCAGTAGAGGCTATGGTGCTTAAAGTGTCCCTTTAATTGTTTGAAGTGTCCCTTTTTATAATTTTTTTTACATTTGCTCAGTTAGTGCAAAACAAATTGAAATAAAATGAAAGTGCCCTTTTTATGTTTGAATGGTTTTAAATGTTTCAATAAACTTATTATGTTCAAAGACAAAACCTACTGAAACATATTAACATACTTTGGATGAAATAACTATTTTTTTTAATATATATTCTGCAAGTGCTCCATTAATTCTATTATATCAAGTAACCTTACTGATCAGTGATAAAGGGTTGCATCCGTTGGCCATCATGTGTTTCTGGATTAGCCACTTAATCATGATTGGTCAGGTATCTTCATTTCATCACAATCTAATGTACTGCAAAGTTAATTTAAAATACCATTCATTCTGTTACATTTTTTAAATCTGTATTATTCTCCATTAGAATCTTTCAAGAATTCCGGAACCATTCCATATCTCATACTGTGTAATAATCTTTTTTTCTGGAATATCATCTTGTTCATGTCAAGGGCATAAAGAGTAGATGAGGAAACAAAATTGCTCAGCAAACCTTTAAAAACCTTTCCACTGAGATCTTGAATAAACCATTACAGCTGCAAAGTACATCTTCAATACATCCCAGAAGACAAGGCAATTTTTGTCTTGTTAATGCACTCTGATATCTTGTTTAAAACGTATTTTCAATAGATGCTGGTCAGACTAAAGCCTTATCAGGATGCGAAATCCATTCTCTAAAATTACTTTAAGCATCACTCGCTCAAGTATAGCTAAACTATTATTTTTTTTCTAATGTAGAAACACATCCATGATCATGACTTAGTAAGAAAAGCTTTATTCTATTAAATAGACAACGGACATATACAAAGACTAGTCCATAGAGCCTGTTTTTATAACAAGGCATTGAAGAATGGATTTTCCATTGCAATATAAACATTGCCAAAAAAACATCATATTAAGTTATACATGTTTTAAAGAAGCAATAACAGGTTAACACAGTGCAGAACAGTTATTAGTTAACTACAGAGCCCAAGTGCAACGTCTTTAACTGCGTTCTCTGTGTGGTCCTATGTGAAACATGGACTCTTCTCCCACAAAAAACAACATACTGCCTTGTGTTCCACCTACCCATCCTGGCCTCATCTTAAGTCATAGACCATACATCATAATCTGAATAAAGTCACAAATTATCAGCTTATCATTTCAATAACTCTTTTAGTGCCTACACCTAAAAAGAGTGTTTGTTGATACTCCTCATATTGTGTTTCTCCCTTTTTGTGCCATATTGTCCATTCGATTGTAAGCTCATAGGCAGGTCATGTATATTACTTTACTCTACTTTACTCTAAAGTGCTACAAATATTCAACTGAAGTCCACAGGCGGTGCTCTTTACTTCTCTTGTTCCATAATGCCTAAATATATGCCCTTCTGTCTGGAAGAACGCCAATGATCAAGTTGTCAATAATAGAGGTATGTAATAACCGACAGACAAATAAGTAGACACGTTCACTTGATCCTATGCCCCCAAGCCCAGACAAACCTAAACACTGCTAGGACCCCTATTACCTACAAAAACCTTTCTTCACAATATGCATGATGATGGTAGCGAGAAAAGAAAATGAATGGGGGAATGTAATTTAAATTTAGTTGGCCAACCAATCCTATTGCCCTGGAGCTATGATACAATGGGTGTAAATCTCCTAATTTTAAGGATCGTAAATCTTTTTTTGGTTCCTGGTCAGTTAATATCCATGGGTAGAAGATGAGCACATGTGGGAATCTTTTCACAATGTTGTATATGGCACATTTAAATTGTGTTTATTAACCAGGACACCACCATGCGATGCAAACACATATTGAGGGGGGTTGAGTGCAGAAAGGGACTTAATTAAATTCGTATTTTATTGGACACAACACCAGAGTAGTTAGGCTTTCCTCTGTTTCTGGTGTTGCATAATGAGTAATTGATTGTTTTGACAATGTTAAATGTGTAATACATTGATCAAGTGAACAGCTGATTGATTAAGTGATCAATAATACACAAATGAGATAGAATTGACAGGTCTGCCTTTAATTATCTTACCACATGCCCTTAAGAAAGCTGCCCGGTCAAATCGGTTTACCTACTTAAAATATCATTAATGCCATTAATTATACATGCAGTTTATTGAATGTTTCCTTCTGCTACCTCTTAATGATCATGGTAAATTGCGTCAAAATGTATAATTATTGTAAAGCAAATTATATCATATTAAGCACATTGGAATTTAGATTGTTTTTTTAAATATAAATATTTGCTCAAAAATGGCTTATAAATATTGGCACCAATTGTGCTATGTTATTATTTTATGTTATTGTTTTAGTGATAGAAAACCACAAGAGAATACAAATTTTGAACCTCTCGCTGTAAGGAGTAAAAGGTATAAACATGAAGTAATGGATGTCGCTTCTCAAGCAATTGAAATATTTGATGCCAATGCATTAAGGAAGTATCCATGTCTTACCTTCAAGTTTTAAATAGTTTTTGTACAGTTTAACTCTGAAGTTGAATTCCACAGATGCTACTAGCCCAGCTTCCTATCTGGAACTGCTCAACAAATGCCTCACAATTTGCTCTAGCAGCAGTGTTGAGCAGAGAGTAGTGATAGGCCAAAACCTTACAAATAAGGTGAAATATACCAAAAAAAATATGATATTTTGGAAATGGAGGTGAATGTGCTGAGAAGATGGTGAAATGTTAATGGTTTGTAAAATAAAGCTATAAGAATAAGTTATTATTTGAATATCAATAATTATCGAAGTATTAGAACTCACTTTACCGAAAAAAAACATAACATAACTTTATCCATTTTAGCTGTTATTTTTATCACAACTGTTTAAACCCCATTACTTCTTGCTTACACTGCTGTGGGGTCTGTTCTCTCCCGCTGGACAACATACTTGCAATCTCACTATATTTTTCCGTCTTATACCTTGACCTCTGTACCAGTTTACATAATGTGACACAAAGCAGAAAATGTGCAAAATAAATAAATTCTTCGGCTGCCATTTGGATAAAGGCAACCACGGCAGGATAAAAATAATTAGGCCTACAGGGGGCGTCTTGAGATCAACTCTAGTCTTTAATGAGCTCTGTTGGAGCACATGGACTCCAAAAATATAGCTTTATGTCAAACAAAAGATTTTTCACATTGAGCATGATTAATTTAATGCTTCTACTGGTATTTCTTCCACATTGCTATTTAACATGTAACCTAAGTTTTAACCCACCACTCATGCAGTCCACAGTTATCATGAATATTAAATTTGCACTATTCAGAAAGTGGTGAATGTTTTAGAAGTTTGGAATTGTTCTAACACATTCTGCTTCTATATATTTCACCCATTCCATTTCCATGGCCTGTACTTTACTACATCTAGGCTACTTTGACAGCCTTTTATTCACTTACATCCTAAACTCTTACCGCATTTAACTTTGTAACATTCTTTACTCCTCTGTTCTGATAATTGAATCTACTCTCTTTCCTTAACCTGTTCAGTGGTTTCAATTGTAGTAGAAGTGTTACTTTATATATTTCAGACACTACACAGGTTGAATGGTCAGGAAAGCAAATTGTTTTAGAATGTTCTCTGTTTTACATCATTTGCTTAAAGGATCATTTGCTTAAACATACTCGTTTTCCTGGCACTATAGTGCCCAGATTTTCACAGTGAGCAGCACGCAAGCGCCTCTAGCAACTGCCAAGAGACAGCCACTAGAGACTGGATTAACCCTATTATAAACATAGCAGTTTCTCTGAAACTGCTATGTTTATAAAAAAAGGGTTAACCCTAGCTGGACCTGGCACCCAGACCACTTCATTAAGCTGAAGTAGTCTGGGTGCCTATAGTGGTCCTTTAATTATAATGTATACCTAAAATGACCAACGAAAACAGTTGAGAATATGTTATAGTATTCAATAAGATATCTACTCACCTGAACTTAGTGATCGCTTACCCATCAAACCAACAAAGGAGTTACTGTTTTGCCCTGAAATGAAATATGATAGGTTAAATACAGTCCTGTGTATGCATATGCAATGTAGACAATTCTATTGTTGGGTCAATTATTTTTCTAATCGTTATTTTTCATAATTATTACATTTAGATTATTAGCAATTTGGGACACTATGCATTGTTCCTAAAGGGGATTATAAAAGTTTCAACTAATAGGAGATACAGATAGCATATAGCAGGAGGCTGGTCCATAGGGGCTGGTGGGGTTGCACCAACCTTTTTTTTTTTTCAATAAACACAAATATTGGCATTCTAAGGGATAGTGACAAGTGTGTCAAAACATGTCTGTCATTATTATATCTGTATTTTCTATTATACCCTTTATTGATGACTGCAAATGAAGCTGGTTTTGACCAGAGCATGGCATCTCATAGGCTAAGTGTTAGAGTCTAATAAATCGAGCAGGGGAGCATCGCCACACTTATTTATGTGTCACCAGCCGCCTCTGGTATATTAAAGCTAATTTAACATTACAAAGTGCCTTTTTAATGAAACCATGAATGAGTCATGTTTTAATCTGCTAATATTATTTTGCTAACTTCCATTATCGCAGTGGCGGGAGAGGAGCTGACCTTTGGATATGTTACAAATGGCAGCACCTACAGATTCTGGCATTAGTAGTAGTACCAGAGTCGCAATGTGCGATGTAGTGTTTATTGTGCTTAGATTGTTCTTGTAATTTTGGCTAATCAGCTGAAAGTTGCCAGCTAGCCTTACTTTGTGGGGCCTCAATAAATTCTAAATTATTTCAAGCAGATTTTTCAAAAGCTGTTTAACTGTAAGTCTGATGGTTTGCTCCAACTGTGAAATTATTTGATTAATGATACCCAGGATCCCAAAGAAACCGCTTAGAACCCTTGATGGAACCATTCCGTCATGCTGTATTTTACCAGTACGGACTTTTTTTAGACAGCTCTTTAAGTCAATTGAAATCTCCACGGCTGAGTGATTGAGCTCAGCCACCTTGATTCTGGGCTTGCAGCTTGTCTGCGGGAGACCACAAGGTTCTACACAGACTCTGACAGGGTCTCCCTGCATGCCTCCATGCCATTTTGATTGTTCTGGGCTTCGCCAGTTGCTCGGTACTGATCATAGTGTAATTCTAATGCAGGGTTTTCAGCATAACACGGCAAAACAGCCAGTTGTTGGCAGCAACATATTGCTGTCTGCTGTTTTGACTTAGAATTTCTTTTGCTAATACCAGTGCTGATATTAGCAGAGGGAATACCTTGCAATTAAGATTAGTTTAGGGATTAGGATTACATTTAGCATTAGTATTAGGTATCGAAACTGACATTGGCAGAGGGAATCACCAACATTATTGCTAGGGATTAGGATTCGGATTGTGATTGAGGTTAAAATGGGGATTATGAGGAAAAATTAGTCCCTATAGAGGACTTGATGGTGTGATACGGGAGCCTAGAGAGAGTAACCCTAAATATCACATACAAATAAGCACAATAGGTCCCTTTTAAATGCTTTTTATTTTTAGTTATTAATCTGAAAGGGATACTCCAAGCACCATGACTACTTGGCTGATTTGATTTTGAGTTCCCTATGAAACGCTGCACACACAGCATTTAACCCCACTGCTTCCCAATGCGTAATCCCAGGATATACACTATATGGACAAAAGTGTTGGGTCACCTGACAATTACACTAAGAGGGACTTTTTTTTATTTTTTTTGACTTTCTTTATTTTATTGTGCCAAGCTAAATTTACAGATGAGCACAGGCATTTTATCAAGATAATAAACCGCAGCAGTAGTTGCATAAATGCATAAAATGTCAAGAGTATGGCACTTTTTATAATATAAAGTAGAGTAAACAAGTGTGCCAGGCAAGAAAAAAAACTACAAAATATACCAAAAGAGGTTAAAAGCAAAACTAACTGACACCACATTACACAATACACAATGGGAATGCCACCAATGAGCTTGTATACTGGACTCAGGATGCTTCCACTTATATATACATGAAGTGAGAGGACAAGTAAAAACAAAGAGAAAGAAAAGAAGAAAGAAAAAATCCAAACAAACATTAAACAGCAACAGTATGCTTGAGTTGCTGTAGGTAGTCAGGAAGGTAATGACGTGAAATCCACTAAGCACCATGAGTGTCCATCAGCTGATGCCTTTCATGGGAAGTACACAGTCCCCCAAGTGCGTGCTGGTTCTCAGGGCTAGCACCACAAATGCCGGTAGGCTGCACAGCGATTGTAGTCAGGTCGCCAACCCCCTCTTTTCCAGCTCAAATGGTTCCACCCCTGCTTAACCACTTAAGGACCAAACTTCTGGAATAAAAGGGAAACATGACATGTCACACGTCATGTGTTCTTAAGGGGTTAAATGTTCTGCCACGGCCAGCTCGTTCTCCTCCCCAGGGTCTGCCGGCGTGGGATTAGCTTTCTCAGGGGCATTCGTATAGCTCCATGAGCTGCTGGTCGGCTGCCATGTTGTTGAGGTGAACTGAGACTTGTGTGTGGAGCTGGTGGGATTGGTGCACTAATCTTAGCACGCAGTTTCTGCCAGAAGGCATCAAAGATAGTTATTAATCTGAAAGTGATACTCCAAGCACCATGACTACTTGGCTGATTTGATTTTGAGTTCGCTATAAAACGCTACACACACAGCATTTAACCCCACTGCCTCCCAATGCGTAATCCCAGCATCCAGCATCTAGGTGGCTTAGGAGTGATGTTGTTCCGCCATGGTGAGTTGGGGCACTCACAGCGTCCGCCATTTTGGGTGGGCCCATGTCTAGTGCTGTTTGGTCAGCAGACTTTAGCGTGTGTCCACAGAGCGTTGCTGATTGCTAAATTGGTGAGGGGGCAAACGAGGGAAACGACCCTCAGACAGCCACGCCGTTGAAGAGCAACGAATCGGCCGCATTCCCCGCCTCGTCTGAAGGAGTAGGCCTAAAACTGTACCAGCCGTGTTCTCGCGCCACTTGCACGGAGAGTCGCTACTGGAATTAAGGAAATGTCTCCATGTCGGTGAGTTGCCGAGGGTCTTTCTATATTGCACTTAACTGTGTTTTTAGAGGATTTTTATGTGTTTTTTTCTAGGAGCCTCTGTGACATGCGTCTTGCTCTGTCGACCGCCAGACCCCACCCCCACCAAGAGGGACTTTTATGACATTGCATTGTAACATAGACATTAATATGTAGTTGGTGCCCCATTTGCAGCTCTAAAAGCTTCCACTCTTACACTTTGACAAGGCTTTTCACAAGATTTTGGAGTGTTTGTATATGAATTTTTGCCCATTCATGACGACTTTGTGACTATACATCTTTCACTTCATGGCTGAGTTGCTGCTGTTCCTAAACACTTCCACTTTCCAAAACTACCACTTATATTGACTGTGGAATAGCAGGGAATAAATTTCACGAACTGACTTATTGTAAAGGTGGTATCCTAGCAGAGTACCACATTTGAATTCACTGAGCTCGTAAATGCAGATTGCATGGCTAGGAGCTTGATTTTATACACTTGTAGCAATGGGACTGATTGAAACACCTGAATTTAATAATTAAGAGGTGTGTCCCAATACTGTTGTTCTTATAGTGTGTATATATATATAAGTTTGCAGATATATATGTATTTATCTGCAAACTTGGGGTACAAAGATAACTCTCTCTGATATGTATTCATGTGGACAAAACACTTTTTTTTTCTGTTACGTGAATCTTAATTCTTGTAACTGAATACCATTTTTATTTTTACACAAAATATGCTTATCTGTTCTATATCATTCTTCCAAGCACAATATCACATTCAAAGTATCAACGGTATGAATTCAATTAGCAAAATACATACGTTTTGGAGAATTCCTTTTAAATTCTGTGAAGAAAAAATAAATCACAATTGAAATCCAAAAGTTCTGTTAACCTGAACTTTACATTAACAAAATCCAGCATATTTTTGATCTATGTAAGCATTGCATCTCTGTAGAGATACAAACAGATGTATTTATAATGAATTAAAGTTTATTTTTGTACATGTTTGCTATGTGTTTGCTTTAATTGACATTTGCTTCATAAAGTGTTGAAAATGTCATCGCTGCTAAAGATGTCTATTTTAAACGTTTAATGCATTTGGCTGAATCTTATTCAGTTCTATTTAAAGTATGCAAAGGGAGCACTATTCCCAAATGCCATTTCAGTTTCCCATTCTTTTAATCTGCATTACACACAGAAGATCCTGAGCAGGGCTATTTGCTGTGAGCTTTCTGTTCAGCATGCTAACTAGCAATGAGTTGTCTGTTCTAAGATCGGTGACATCCTCACAATCAACAGGAGAGAAGCTCCTTGAATTTTTAAACACATTTATTTCCATGGGATTTCTGGTATAGTTGCCCTTTAAGACCGAGATCTGCTTCCGGTATATATTGTGCAAGCTGTTTTGATAGGTTACCAAGCACTCCCCTTCCCAATGCATTATTAATATTCAACCCAAAACTGAATACACAATATTCTCTATGAGGTTTAAGATCCAGATTATATGGCTATAAAGTGTAACATTTGGTCTTTAAGGGGTTAATTGAAATAAATTAAATTTGAAAAGAAAAATGCCGAGTTCTCTGCCAGGAATTAAACCTGTAACTCTTTGTTTTCATACTACGGCTTAAAATTTAATATCACAACCCACTGTAAACACAGTACAAGTGCCAATGCCACCGGCTAAACTAGTTTTAACGTGTGAACTTGTTTACTTCTACGTAGATCACTTTTTTTGTGTGTTTTTTTTACCTTTGCTTCGTTTTGCAATTAGCTCGAGGATTTGACCTGGTCTTGCCTTTCTTGCAATTCTCAACAGAAATCTTTCAAGTGCTGGGTCCTCTATGTCTGTCTGAAGATCTGCCTAAAAGAATAAAAACATTTCTTAATAATGTTATCTCTATGTTAGTGGAGAGCTGTATAAAATAACAAGCGTTATAGTATCCAGCGAATGATAATTTAAACATACCAACATATACAAAAATAACTTCCAACAAAAATATGTTTTTGGTTTTTATTAGGCATGCCAGCCAAAATTATAACCTAATTTGCTCTTTCTAAAATTTTTAAGCTTTCTAGACAGATGTAGTTCTCATGCGACACATATAAATGATGTGTTTTTATGCATCAACATTCATTAAAGAAAAGAAAACAATAATTGTAACAAACATTTCCCATGTTGTAAATTCCAGGACAAATTACTGCAGTGGTATAGATGTATTTACACAGATAAAAAAAAAAAAAAAGTTATTAAAACATTATTAAAAATGAGTATACTATAAAATAAAATGATAATATCTCTCTGTCTTGCAATATCACTTCTATATTTAGATCTATGGTATCAGAGAAATTGTTGTAGTTCTTGTAAAGTCTTGCATAGATTTCTGCACACTTCATAAACTTGGACGTTTTCAAAAGCCAGGGCTGGAGAGCAGACAGTGAGAGGACATGACAGTTTTGTAATTTTTCGTATTTTGCTTAAGACTTTCTTTACTTAAGCTTCACAGCAGCACTTTTTTTAACATAGTAACAGGGTAACCAATCAGAAAAAAAGATAACAAGGTATAAAAGTCCCTCCCCGTGATGTCACTGCCTCTTTCTTTGCTGCTTCACACCAGTACAGGTCAGAGTGCCACTGTCTTCTACTTTCTGTGGGTTTCTGTGGTTGATTCATTTATCTTCTTATCTGTTTCTCTCATATTTTATTGATATTATCTTTGTATCTTATACCTAAGGAGTTTTAGCTACCTTATTTAATCTTGCGAAATGTTCCTCTCAACTTATTTTCTCCATATCTATTTACTGTCTAATTTTTTCCTATTAGCTACTTTTGAACTGTCATTCTTGCCAGTTCCGTTTATTTTCTGTTTATTTATTTATTTTCTACCGTATTTAGTCCAGATTGTGGTCGGCATACCCGGGCTATCTGGGCCGTGGAGAACGCCTCCAACGGCCCTGAGTGTGCAGGGCGGCCATCTTGGATCTCTCCCTCTAGTGCGCATGCGCGAGATCGTGGCGGACATTTTCTTGGAGCCACGATCTGCACCCATTCTAGCCGCACGGCAGCCATTTTACCGCTCGTCGCGGCAGTATTACACTTTATAAAAACAAATAAATAAATAATAAATAATAAAACTCCTCATTTTATGCTCTTGTTCATACCTCATGTTGGTTTAAGTTCCCCCAGGAAAATCTTCCCTCACAGAGTAGACTCTACTTCTCTACTCACCATAGGGATGGCATATACTAACTCCCCCTGGTGGTGAATTGAAAATACTACATTGACCAAATCATATTATTGAATTACTCTACTTCCATACCGTTGTAGAAACCCCCAATATCATTCAGCCAAATATTTTATCACACTAATACTGTGAGTTTTTAAGGGTAAATCCCTAAATATGATTTATGATTGCTGTTAAGTTATACAGCCCATGATTGGCCCGCTTTGCCTGTGCCACCATACCTCTACACGGTTTTGAATAATTACTCCCGGAGGTTATTTATACTGGGTGATCCCCAATTGCAACTTGCACTGTGGAATTTTAAAATATTGTGATATATAAAGACGGCCTTAAAATACATCCTAATACTGGCCTATTCTGCCCCATAGGTACCAACACTGTTGCTATGGAGGCTTCAAATCAAGATCAAAACTTGCAAGCAATTATAAATGCAGCTGTTGCCGCCTCACTAAAAAAAGGCCTTGGCTCGGGTACTGCCCATTGAGCACAAAGATCTTAAAATCTCTGAGCCCCCGCTTTCTGATGAAGATGCGGATGATTCCGATTCCACAAAAAGGAACCCTTCCAAATCCAATAAACGATATTAGAAAGGGGATGGGACAGAACCACTCAAACGCAAGGAGAAAGAACCGGCGAAATGCCCCAAATAGGCGGACGCTAAAGAGAAACACTCCATCCAGCCTACTCTGAAGAGGAGGAGGACTCTTTCGACTTACACCCCTTGGCCATTCTAGATGAATGGCAAGCTGGCCACTCTTCAGAAGACGAAGAGGACTGGCCTGAGACATCTTTCAGAGGAGCACCTTTCCCTCAAGATACTATGAGTCCCCACAACTGAGGATACGGTACCCGAATCGAATCCATCAGAGGACACTGAATACTTTCTGGTTACACTTGGTCAACCTCTATTTGACCTGCGAAAGATTAGATATCCTCGGTCATCAGAATGGTCACTCCCAAACCATCTCTCCCAGAGACCCTTAGACCAGAAGGTCCGCAAGCGCCTAAGAGCTGAATGTCCTAGGCCTACTCTGCCGGACAAGGTAGCTATGACCCCGGAGTTTGATATGCTGCTCTACACATATCTAGCCAGATCTGTCTGTGACCCAAAAAAGGGCATTGAACGTAGCCTACGCCTCACCCAGGACAAGATGTTAGATATCCTGGGGCCCCTGGCGAAAATTCTACTACTGGCTAATGAAGAATTTGCATTGCCCAGCAGGCAAATGGAGCGTAGTGCCCATCTGTGATCAGAGAATGAGCACTACTCTCCATTGGCCTGCTGGGCAATGCAAAAACATCCCTCTGTACTGAGCGTAGAAAAGCAGTGCTGCTGCGCATGGATGCCAAACTAGCCAACTTGGAAACCAAAGAATTGGGCCCCAAGGCCAAGGGTCTGTTATTTGGAGAACCCTATATTAAAGAGTTACACAAACATGTAAACTTATACGCCACACTGAACAAGGCACAGTCATCCATGAAAAGAGTATTTTATCAACAACCCTCACGGGTTTTTGGCAGGGCTGGCCGTACAAGGGGTCATAAAGTCAGCCGTTTCTGGGCCACTAGCCAATGCCAGTGACCCCCCACTTCATCGTTCTTCCCCAACTATCAATCAAGGGGCTTCTACACCCAAAGGGCAGATAGGGGAAGAGGAAGCAGAGCCCGTGGACGCAACAGATACCCAACAGGTGAGATTTCCTACCTTTCACCTTTCTACGGTTTATCATGCGGGCAGGTTGTTACATTGTGTAGACATGTGGAAGACGCTGTCTTCAGATACCTGGGTTCTAAACACAGTTCGGGGTTATTCTATAGAGTTTTATTCTCTCTCTACTCAAACAGGTTCTCCTCATTACCCGATAATGTCAAAATCTCAAAGTATCCTTCTCGATTGAAATCAGGAGAATTCCGCCTGGTAATCAACCTTCGCCAATTGAATACCTTCGTGGTATACAGGCATTTCAAAATGGAAGGGATACATCTCCTCAGAGACATTCTCCAACCAGGCGATTGGTTCACCCGACTCGACCTCAAGGATGCTTACCTCTCCATACCAGTACATCCACCCAGTCGACGTTTTCTCTGCTTTCTTTGGCACCACCGGATTTTCCAATTCACCTGCCTTCCATTCAGCCTGAGTTCCACTGCGTGGTGCTTCACCAAACTGCTCAAGCCAGTCACCGCACATCTTCGAGCAAGGGGCATTTGCTGCTTAATCTACCTCGACGACCTCTTGCTACTCTGTGACGACGCATCCAGATTGCGATCGCAGACCAACTACACATCCTCATTGATCGAATTTTTGGGGTTTGTCATCAACCAAGTGAAATCATCACTGTCCCCATCCCAAGTCATACAATTTCTCGGCTTCAAGATCGACTCCTCCACCTGTGTTCTTCGCCCACCTCAATCCAAGTTAACTGCGATCAGGAAGGAACTACGCAAGATGCTTTGACAAGTGGATCTACCTCTCAGAGGTTTAGCTCGGATTTTAGGCCTGCTTTCTGCTTCCATTCAGGCAATCTACCCAGGTCCCCTTCACTATCGGGTGATGCAACGCTTGAAAGCTCAATTCCTCCAGACCCATCCATCATACGACCAGAGGGTCCCTATCAATACCAAGGTGAGGGATGAACTCTACTGGAGGCTCCGCCACATGTTTGGCTGGAACGGCAAAACAATTTTCGTCCCCACTCCGGACTTTGTGGTGGAATCAGACGCGAGCCTCCAAGGCTGGGGCGCAACTTGTCATACAACTTCCACTGGGGGACCGTGGACCACCGCAGAAAACTTTCTCCAGATCAATTGTCTGGAGTTAATCGCAGGCTCATTTGCAATCCGCAGTCTGGCCAATCACCTCAGACTGTTGTATTCTCCTTCGAATGGACAATATCTCAGCCGTCCAATACATCAACAAATTGGGCGGGGCCAGATCTCACACCCTCTCCGAAGTGACAAAGGACATCTACAATTTTTGTTTTCAACGCAACATCACACTTCGGGCAGAATATCTCCCATGGAGATGAACATTACTGCGGATTGGTTCTCCCGACATTGGAGAGACGGCAGTGACTGGCGCCTACACAGATCAGTTTTCTTCCACGTCTCCAAAATCAGGGGCCCGTTTATTCTGGACCTGTTCGCCTCCCGGACGAATTTTCAGGTCCCACGGTTCTTCAGCTGGCTACCAGACCCAGAATGCTCGGCAGTAGATGCCTTCCTTCAGTAGTGGCCGACGACAGGAGCCTATACCTTCCCTCCATTTGCGATGAGTCCAAGAGTCCTTCTCCAGATTCGCCGACAACAGGTCACGCTTGTACTACTCACCCCACTCTGGCAGGGCCAAGCATGGTTCCCGGATATCCTGGACTTCTCCTGCCAACATCCCCTCCTTCTACCTCTATGGCTCAACCTCCTAGAGGACCCTCAAGGAAACCCTCATCCGATGATAATACAAGGCCACCTCCACATAGTGGCTTGGACTCTTTCAAACTGGAATTTCGGAGAGTTATCGCAGAGATCTAAGGAACTCCTCTGGGATTCTTGGGCCCCTGGAACCAGAAGATGCTACCTTTCCTCCTGGGGTGCTTGGTGCAATTGGTGCCTGGAACAGAATACCGATCCCTTTACAGCCCCTAGACAGTTCATATTGAATTTCCTCTCGCATCTTTTCGACCTAGGCCAATCCTACCGATCCATCAACGTTGCCCGGTCGGCCATCTCGACAGCCCATGTTCCTCTACACGGAGCTCCAGTTGGCCAGGTCCCGCAGGTTTGTAGACTATTACGGGGCATTAAACTGGCTCGCCCCCAACACTCCCAATGATTCATTTCCTAGAAGCTTGGCTGAGCAACGAAGATCTCTCCCTTCGTCATCTCTCAGCAAAAGTCACTCTGTTACTTTGCTTAGTGTCTTTCAGACGAGTGTCGGATGTTCAAGCTTTTGACCATGATGCTATCAACTTTTCCCCTGAAGGTGTCACCTTTTCCTTGTCCAGACGGACTAAATCAAACTCCTCTTCGGTATTTTACCCTTATTTCCCTAACCATCCAAAATTGTGTGTGGTATCACTTCTCTCTCGTTATTTATTACTCAACTCCACTCTCTGTTCAACCTCCTCCAGCCAATTATTGGTCTCATACGTCCGACCACATAATCCAGTGTCAACCACGACCCTTGCCTGATGAGTTAGGTGGTTGCTCTTCCTGGCCGTGATTGAAACCTCCTTCGGAGCCCACTCCATCAGAGGAGCGGCGGCATCAGGAGCATTCAACGCTGGAGCCTCACTTCGGGACATTCTTCACTCAGCAGACTGGTCCCGGGAACAGACGTTCCGCAACTTCTATTTTCGTCCGGCTGTGCACGCTTCCTTAGCCCTTCTCGGGGTGCATTAAAACAGCAAAATACGAAGCCTCCTGTCATGTCATAAAATTGTAGATTATGCTAGCTTTAGTGTACCTATAATCTTAATTTTATTAATGACAGGAGGCGAGTATTTCCCACCCTTCACTTTAGTTTCCCCCCCCTAGGGTCGCCTCTGTAGGTAAGTTCATTTACGACAAGAGTAAATACGCAATGTCTTTCTGCTCTGGGGGGGCAAGGGGTTACACCCTTGGGGTGGGTGGTTTAAGGCTATGTTGCAGGCGGGCTATAATATATGATCTCTAACTACTGCATGACATAATTTTAGAAGTCCAATTCACGGATTAATCCTTGGTTTCGACTCTGCTCTCTCGTTTCAGCATAAAGCTCCCTCAAGAGGACAAGTCTAGTTGCAGTTCCAGTTCAAGCATCATCTCAGCTCTCCAAAGAGGACATGTTTACTTTCCTGTTCCCTCTCAAGCATCAACTTTCTCGTCTGGCATTCTGAAACTCTCATCTGATTCATTTACTGTTCGTTTGCTGTTCCTGTTTGTTCGCAGTTACACTGTCACTATGTTAAAAAAAGTGCTGCTGTGAAGCTTAAGTAAAGAAAGTCTTAAGCAAAATACTCGCCTCCTGTCATTAATACAATTAAGATTATAGATACACTAAAGCTAGCATAGTCTACAATTCATGTCACCAGTGATGTTCGTGAGCAGGCTGGAAAAAAGACACCTCCTTGCTTCAAAATCAGAAACATTAATCCTCTTCAGTTTATAGCAATACAAATAAGCACCTTTGATAAAGGGTCAATCTAAGCACCATAACCACTATACTTTATTGTTATGGTTATAGTGCTAGGAGTTTGCAGACACCATTCTTCAGTTCTTTGTAAAATTATTTTTAGCAGCTTGACACAAACCATGGATCACACTAGCATCCCATAGCCTGGTTCCTCTCATTTGCTCCTCATCACCTTCCAGCCTTTATCGTCCACCTCTGTTCTAGAACTCTCAATTTTGAAATTCAATTGACTCGCTGAGTCTTTCAGATAATCAGTTTTGTCAGGACCATAATCAGTTTGTGTCAAACTGCTTGAAAACAGTTTGACACAAAAATGGTCCTGCAGACTCCTAGTATCATAATTAATACAACAAACTGTAGTGACTATGGTGTGTAAAGTACCCCTTTAAGATATAATTAAAGTCCTGAGCCAACTATTGCCACTTGCTGGAGGAAGATCTCATTAGAACCCTAATGTTTTAAGCGTGACGTCTTTATCAAAGACAAGCCTAGGCTATTGTAATTCAGAATGGATAGATGGATGGATGTACAATAGCGTTATTGTAATGAGAATAATTTTAGTCCCTTGATCTTTACTTAATAGCTCTTCACATTTGAAATAAAATACACTATTTACTGGTTGAAATAAGGTGTCTGAATTTGATAAGTGATCATTGTAGAGTAAAAGTAACTGCGCTAAACCTAAACGCATTGCTTTTGTTTCTTGCTGTCACTTCCAAACACTATTTTTTCTCATTTTATTCTCTTTGATAACAATTATACTTTGGAAAGGCTCATTGTGCTCTTGTCACTTTTAGACTAATCACATATTGACTCAAGAGTTCTTTATTTATCATTATCTATGTTAAATTGACTTCTAATCTTTCTCTATTGCTGGTCAAGGCTCTGCAAGCACCAATGTCAAAGTTATGCAACCAAACTAGGGCTAAATGTATTGATTTGAATGAAATGTATTAACCTGTCAGATGGATTGACCTGAGATCATTAGTACATTTTATCATCCAAGCCATATGATACCGTTGTTTTCAATGGCATTTCTAAAAGTAGTTCATCCTCAAGCATACGGTTTTAAAAGTATATTAAAAAAACCAAAAAACTTTCTTTGCTCTTTTCTGAAGTTTGATAGATTGCGAGAATATACAGCTTGATACAAAATAAAATATAGATCCTAATGTTTAAAAATGGTTAGTTTCACCAGTAAACAGGGGCATGCCTCTGATGCAGTTCCCCTCACATTAGTTGACAGTGAACCAAATTTGGTGCAGTATATAATATAATTTGGTGTGCCTGGAGGGGAAGAGATCTTATAGATCATAGTATCTAATGCTAGATCTAAAGCTTCAAGGTCTACAAAGAGTTGTCAAGTCTCAAGATGTGCCCTTCAAATAGGTATGCAAGTATATAATTTTTTTCCAGTTAACAATAAATCTATTCAAGATACAAAGTTACATAGGTTGAAAAGATGCTTGTGTCCATCAAGTTCAGCCTTTGATCCCAAAAAGGGGAAAACAAACCTCTGCTTCAAAACACTTCCCAATTTTGCAATAAACTTGGAAAATATTCCTTCTGGACTCAACCTATTAAAAGTTGTATTAGTGAATATTATGTTGTTTTTTTTTCAAGTATTCATCCAATTGCTGTAGAGACTGATGAAACCAACTCTTCAGGCAGAGAATGTCACATCCTTATTTTTCTTACTTTTAAAAAATCCTTTGCCTTAACCTTAAATCTCCCTTATTTTAGGCTAAATGGGTTATCTCGTGTCCTATGTCCTGTTTATGAATAGATTTCCAGATAATGGTTTGTATTGGTCGCGAATATAATTGTATAATATTTTTCTAACTAAGCAGATTTAAATTTGTTAACCTTTCTTCATTACTAAAATCTCCCATGCCCTTTATTAATTTTGTATTTTACCTCTGCATTTTTTCTAGTGCCATAATATCCTTTAAATATAATACTCAGACATTATAAGTTTACTCTATACTATTATCTATATAGTTTTAAACATCATGTCAAATTGAAAAAAAGAAATAGAAATTGTTGATTTAAACCATTAAATATTTTGCTAAATGTGTGCTAAATAAGAGAGTTGGATTTTTTCCTTATATTTCTTTATATTTTTCCAGTCACATTTGAAGTAGATTGGAACTCTGCGCAGTGTACCAAACAGTCTAGAGATGTAGACTGTAGAGCGTCGAGCCCCGACTCGTGTTTCGCCTGGATTAGAGGCTCATCAGGGGGAACTGATGTGAAGAGGTACGGTGGCTTCACATCCCCTGATTCCAAACGCGACCAATCAGTTTCAGGGGCGGGCTATTTAAACCCTACCACATCGGGGAGTCAGTTCCCCCTGATGAGCCTCTAATCCAGGCGAAAAGCACGTCGGGGCTCGACGCTTATCATTAATCTAGTTTTGTCTCCGGTGTTCCACGGCACCCTTTTTTGCGGGTGTATATTTACCACAGGCTATACCAAACAGCCATTCAGGTACCATAGGAACTTAGATGGTTGACAGGCGTCTTTGTAAAATAAACAAACTAGTTATCGACCAGGGTATTCCCATCACAACTATTGAGAACTTACAGCATCCGACTATTAAGGACTGCTTTAGCTCCCTGTGCTTCTTTACTTTCATACTGTCTTTTCTGTACAAGGTGCCCACGAAAGCACCATTCCAGCTACTTTACTCTTTATCATTTATATTTAGCCATGAGCTTCCAGATTGCCAGCTATCTCTAAATGTATGTGCTAGACATTACAAACTGCAGCATTTTGATGTCTAACGACCAAGTTATCAATTATCCATTGGCACACTACTATGTAGTAACTTTATAGTTCTATGACATTATTTATAAACATGTAATATCAATCCCATCATTATCAGGAAGCTAAATCAGTTTCTATCTTCAGTTCAAATGCTGATTAAGGCATTTTGGCGTCTGCGTGGTTCTCTTTACTGATATGCTTGTAATCTAGAGACCGGACAACACAGTACGAAAACAAGAAACTGCTGAGATTAGCTTTCCTCCATGTGGCATCCAACAGTTGTGGTGATAACCATAGATTGAGTTTTGGCTGACTGCCCTACTAAATAAGACTTTCTCTTAATTACACCTTTTAAATACATTTTATTGTGTCAGACCTACTCCCGATATACTGATACATATTGCTATCATAGTTGAACTCAAGGGATTTTCTGATAGTTCAGCTAACTCAATCTATCCCCACCCCTCCCTTTTTTATCTATGTGTTAACTATATTCTGAGTTTGGGCTATTTGCCTTAGATATTATGTCTACTTGATAATATAATTTGGATATCCTTCAGTGTATTAGACATACTTTTTATACACTGGTATATATTGCTATAGCGAGGTCTATTTACTCAGTTTATCGTTTCACTTATATGTCTCATCCCTTACTCCCCTACTCCTTACATTTGTGCTCTCTGTGTTGACTACTAGAATTGACTTTTGTTAAAGTCAGGTAGTCATAGATAGGGCTTTTTTTATGTCCATTGTCTGTTTTTTGGTATTCTTAATAAAGTATCTTCAAGATTTTTAGCAACACTATTAGTTTTTATCTGTATCGATACACCTGATATTGATATTAGGAACAGATTCTTTCCTTCTTTTTTGTTACCAATTTGTTTAGGGTTACCCCCTTATCTGTTCCCTTAGATTCCAGGACATTGACCTTTTTGGCCAATCTTTCCTTAATTATGCTCCAAAGTTAGTCCACATAATCCCGTCTGCAGCACGTAAATGTTTATAACATCACTGGATTGATCCCTCACCCCCTCTGTTATTGTTACTACAAACTAACATTTATTTTCTATTTAATATGGACTGGATTGAAGCCTCATTGGTTCTTTGGATAGATCTATTCAATTCAAAATTAAATCGACTTTTGAATTTATGGACTGGTACCTTACTAGAATAATAGCATACCAACCCTTCAATAAAAAAGGGAAAAGGAAAAGGGAGAGAATAAAAGAGGAAAAGCAGAAGGGAGGAAGGAAAAGAAAAGGAAAAAAGGGAAGAAAAAAAGGGAAGAAAAAAAACAAAAATGGAAGGAGAAAGAAAAAATGGAAAAATAAATTAACAAACCAGGTTAATTCCCCCTATGATGCTACAATTTCAAATATGTTTGAGCTGAATATATGGTCTACCCTGTTTTATTAGGAATGATTAGCAAAAGAGAGCATATTTAACTTTTTTTTGTTTTATTTTTTTTATTTTTGTGTGATATTCCTTTAATGAAAAATATGATGTATGCCAATAAGGCAACATTTTATATTTGGCTAACTTCATATATATTGTTTATGATCCCTATATTTGCAGAATCTGACCGATTCACTATAATAAAACATTTAGAAACTAAAACTTTGTTGTAGCAGCACTAATGGTCTTTGGATGAATTGGGTTTAATCTATGCCAAGTGGACAGCATGCTTGATACTATGGTTTATAATGACATTCTACAAAGCTCTACTGAATTTGTTGGAGCTATATAATACCAATATAATAATAATTATTATTAATATTATTATTATTATTATAGTACATGATTATTTGCAAGAACAAATTATGGTGGATTGAACACTATACCATTTTCTATACCGATGTGCCCCTCATGTCACTTGATATGATATTAGTAAATTGATTATTGTGGGCACCTCTAAACAACAGTAAAGTAGTTGAAAAGCATAAAATCTAATGATATTCAGATGTCATGCAATACTTATTCTGTTGATCCCTGGCAATCAGGAAATGACCCCTAGATTCAAATGAGAGAGGAGCAACATTGAACACTTTCATGCTCATATTCGTGACATAAAAAATGAATGCTCTTACAGAGACACAATGGATTCACACCCACAGCAATTCCACATGAAACAAAAAATAACAATAGATGAATAAATGAAAGATGAAAGATGAAAGCAAACCTAGCACTTAAATGCCTACTGCCATGAACCGTGTGACCTTGCAATGCATTTGTAAGTGCGAAACACAAAAGCTATTATTTAATACAAGATCTCTATCACAGCAATACCTTAAAACTTTGCCTTAATGAGGGAAAGGACAGAACAATGCAAATTCAGAAAGCTTTATTGGTATTTATTAAAGATCACCTACCATATATATACGTTCTAGTTATATATTTTCAATACCATATTATCATGGTGTGCGTTTAGCAAAATCCCAAGCAAAAGCACAGATCAAAGTATATAATCAAATTCATGCAATTATACATTTACCTCCTTCATAACAACAGGGCTCAACATTTACACTCACCAGTAGTCCTTGAGAGTGAAAACGTATTCTGGTGAGTAGAAATGTACACTGGTGAGTGTGCCATGAGTCGTTCAGGCTTGCAGTTCAAGTAACTTTTAAGGCTTGGCTAATAGGACTTGGAATTTAAGCCCTGCTAACAGTATTCAATTTTTGCATATTAATCATCATTGCTCGGTCCATGTTCCCATATTGTTATTGCAATGTATGCACGTATACTTTCTTGATCAATAAAATGTCTGCAATATTTTTGGGTCAGGCATAAGGAACGGGAACCATTGGAAGGACGTAGTCTGTTTGAGAATTCATAGTCTGTGTTCTGTTATCACTATGGATCTTAGCAGTGGTTAGTAAAGTCCCATAGAATGGTCACTAGCTAATTCGCTCTACAACAAGAACCGGATAGTGATGACGGGTGTTATAGCCCAGAAAGAGTGGGAGCTAATTCTCCTTGTACTATTTAGTATCATATTTATTGGTGTTATCACAAGCAAGCCAATTACTGGTAATACCTCTTCCTTGGGTTCTATTTATATTACTAATGTGAAATACCAAATATGTGTAATTGAACCAATATTGCATGGGTGTGAATACACTGTGTGTAAAATATAGAGTTAATTTGTAGACTTGGAGATTCGTTTTGTTACGAACCATAATTTGTCTGATGTTGAGTCTTAAATTCAGGTAAATTCAGGTGATCACCTGAACTCCCAAATTCCAAATAGAGAAACAAACGAATTGTGCAGTGGATGGGCATATTCATTTGATTCATGATTTCGACTTCCGCAAAATAAGTTTCCGTTTGTTACCCCAATTGAATCTATTTGCCTTCAATCAATTTTCGTTTGTGAGTGCAATATACCACAAATCCACAGTAATTTAAATTAAGTACTGTATTACACTATATATATATTTTTATTAGATATTTGTTTTTTATTTCATGGTTTATGTAGATTTGGAGAAGTCTTTTTATAACTACATTTTAGTGAAGAAATGTGTAATTGTACTATATTTATCCCGTTATTTTTCTTCTCTGGTGTTGCCCTTTGTTGTGTATTTTGTTGGGTTTTATACATATAAAAATACATATTTATACTTGCTGTATTTTTTAACATGATTCTACCCCTTTTTCAACAACTCTATACGTCAGAATTGTTGCTATGTGTTTTGTATATTAAAGAAAGCAACAACAATTTGTTCACATCCCTGTGATGTTGAAGCATTTTGCCCTCTGATTGTCAGATTAATGTGTTATTCAAAAAGGGAAGAGGAAAATGGGGAAAATTTAATTGACTGCTTTCATAAATTTAATTGAATTAAGTGCGTGCTTTAAAAATGTGCGCTGCAATCTATCACATCCAGTGTTAATATTCCGTTATTCCAAGGTAAAAAATCACTAAGACCAAATACCGCGTGAAAGTCAAGATTAATCCCCCTCCCCCCTTTTTGCTAAAATGTAAATTAAAATTAAGTACTTGCAGTTACAGCATTTGGATACTTAATGCAATGAAATTGACAGTAATTACAAGAGAGACACTTGTATTTCGTAGCAGTTTTTCTGAATATTTTAAGTACTGGATCTAAATTGTCTTTTTTCTCATTTCTCTATAGCATTGTGATATTTCTCAGTATATAAGGCTGGTTTAAATAATGAGCTTAGTTTATGCATATTCATTGTAGGCAACGAGTACTGCATTATGAAATAAACATAAGGATAATTTATTCATAATATATTTTCTGTTCTTCCACCCCCTTCTCCACCTACTTACTTGATGATCTCCGGCAATTACTTATTCTTGAGTCCATTCTTCCTAGTAATTAAATCCTCATTATTGCTATATTACTGCATGTAAGAGGCTGTCATCAAACCCAAAAAGGTTACTGGATGAATTAGTTTTTTGTTTTTTTTCTAAAACGTAAAACCAATCATACATTAACATTATCTGATGGTAATGTCACCTGGAATTTTATTATTATTATTAATTTTTTTTTAATGATAAATGGCCAGTGTTACTAAAACTACAAACAAAGTATGCAATCAAAGGAGTCATTCTTCCTGCTCTTTTGTTTAGACCTATGATGTTTAGGGTACTTTCTCCTCAGGATATCAGTATTGGCATTGCATTGGTTTGTGTCCACATAAGTAGCACTTCTAATTTTCTGCAGCCACTGTCTAAGTGGTCACACATGACCGCAATAAGGAACTTTGGACATTGTACAAACTAAGGCAACTGTCCTTCTGTTCTCTTCCACCCAGTTAATTTTTTTGTCTTTTTTTCCTTGATTGTCTTGGCCAAGTCCCACATGATCTCCACATACAGTAAGTACATTAACATCAGTCATGTGCATTGCAAATGACATTAACGGCTGCTATTGCAGGTAAAAAAAAATCCTCTAGTGTGCACAATGTCCTCATCCATAAAAATCGACCTGCTAAGTTTACTTTAGAGACTAAGTGGGTTTCCAGTTACATGACTTCTAAAAAAATAAATAAAGAGACTGTATGATATGGAAAAGAGCCTCTTTATTCCTTAATTCCATCCATTTCTAAGGGTTTTAGTGACCAGACTGGGATACACTAGAATGTAACATTTGGTATTATAGGATTAATGGAAATTCTGAAGAATAAATATTCACATAGGTTTAAAAAAAAAAAAAAAAAACATGCACAAAATGTGCAAACATTGCAATATATTCCAAAAGGGTTTTAAATCACAAACAATACTATTTTGGTGTTGCAATGACAATGAGTCAACAACCAGATAAGTGGTATAGTGATGCATTAAATATTGTAGACTCACCTGGTGTAGATTGCTTTCAGGCCAGTACCGGTCTTCATTATATTCCATCTCCTCAGACAACGTTTGTGTCACAGCCAAAAAGAACACTACACACACCACAGCAAGATTCATGTCTCAGCTTTTTAGAATTTTCTCTCCAAAGATAACAGGAAGCCTTCTTTAAACAAAAGAAGACAAAAATATATATATAAGGATATGTGATTTCGCTGAATGTTTTAAGATAGAACATTTTGAAGTTCTTCAAAGTGAGGCGACAATATTGATGCTAATATAATCCAAAAATATATAAGTGACTATGCCCACATACAATAAAAATTAAATATAAAACAGCAGCTCTCAAAACAAGTGGACTTTCTAAACACTATCTAATACAATACATGAATATATATATATGTGTGTGCGCACTTTAATCACTCAAATTGAAAAATAATTGGTACTAAAATATAACACAACCTTGTAAAATGTGCAACACACTGAATTTACTTGAGTAGAAAAAGATCTTTTATATGAACATTATATGGAAACAAAAAATTGGATAAACATAGTGTAAAATGGACAGGTGTGTAAGTTAAAACTGATAGCTTACAATTCTGTAAGTTTAATGTGTTGCACATTGTACACATCACCAATTATTTTAGCACCAATATTTTAAAAAAATTGATACTACCTATTCAATAAGCAAGTTAAATGTATCTCTGATGAATACGTAATGATTTAGTTAACTCTTTCCTACTGTAGAAATAAAAAATAAATAAATAGAACTAATAAGTATAAAAAATAAATATCTATAGTATTTTTTAAAATCCTTAAGTCACTGTGAAATCTGTTTTTGTTTTTTCTTTCTATTATACCAATGAATAGAAAAATACACAATCTCCGCACTGTACAATATACTTACTACGGTTAGCAGAAATGTTCTCCTCTCGTAGGCTTGAATTCGGATGTCCTTCTGCAGTCTGCTTTATAGTCTCAATCATACCGAAAATAAACCTCATTTGTGCAAAGCTAATAAACAAAGTTTTCATCTCAAACAAGGAACAACTACTGCTTCCGTGTGTATATTTATTTCTATCAATATTTGATCTGCCGTCACTCTCCTTTGTTTGTTGCTACTTTATTTATTATATTGAGTCATCAAAGCTAAAAATGGTTGTGGGAATATGCAAAACATTGGTACATCTTTTACGCATCAAGGAATCACAGAACTGTATTGAAAACCTAGTCACTCACGTCCAGTTTCTGGGTAACATACACTTCCCAGGAAAATCATATTAAAATCTCTTTTCAAAAGTTAATAAGACTTTGATTCACTGCTGAAGCGTAGACGTCAGTTGATTAACAATACTTCTAGGTGCTCATTTGGAATTTTAACCATACTTCTAAGTAATTTAGGAATCCCACGGAAATTTAATTTTAAAGGACAATGTCTCTGCAATTTACACATTATAGTGATTCACACAACTCTTTGTACTATATTAGTAGACCTGTTCTTTCTGTGTGTGTTCCATTCACGCTGGTTTTGATGTGCAGCTTACACAAAAAGTTGATATAAGTGGATAGGATATTGTTTGTTTGCTGTAATTACGAAATAAAGCAGAAGAGGAAATTACTAACCCCATCAAGGAAGTTTCATTTTGCTTGGACACATATTTAATTTATTTCAAAGATATTTATATAGCAATTAACCTTAAAATAGCACATGGTTGGAAATAGTTTTGATGAGGCTATAATGGTCTGGATGAGTGAATTAAAAAAATAATGATAAAAACCTAGAATTGAGTACTTTAACCCCTTAAGGACCAAACTTCTGGAATAAAAGGGAATCATGACATGTCACACATGTCATGTGTCCTTAAGGGGTTAAACAGCCTGTTGAATCATATTTTATTTTTATTTTTTTGCACTAATATTGTTCTTGATTTTCTTGGGGAATTTAATGAAACATAGGATACTTTTTTTTATTAAAGAAGTTAGATGGACTTGTCCAATGATTTGCATATTGTCATCCACAATTACTGTCATGACCAAAACTCTTCAAATAGACTACTCCCACAAGGAAAGTCAGTTGCAAAATCTTATATTATTTCAGGGTCATATTCTACAATCACAGACAAGTTTAATTCTGGAAAATGATTAACAATTTTTTAGATATATTTAGGAAAATTGTTATTCAATTTGCCAGTGATAGTAGATTCCTGTGGCTACATAGTACAGATGAAAGTGGCTTGAAAGCTAATTAGCATCCTGTCATAAGTATAGCATAATCTGGTCTCCACAAGTTATAATTGGGTGTAGCCAGGGCCGGTGCATAGATTTTTGACTTCACATGCAATGATCCATTGTGCTCCCCCTTCCCAAAAAATGCATCTTCACATGTGTCTCTTAACCCCCCTTGTGGATTTCTTATCCTCTTTTGTGTTTCATATCTCCTCCTTTTTTAATGTCTTTAGTGTATCTTATCCCCTTTTGTGTTCTACGCCCCTCATTTTCACCTTTGTATGTCTTATAGCCCTCGTGTGTGTCTCTTACTTCCCCCCTTTGCATGGGTGTAACTAGGAATCACAGGGCCCCTGTGCACGAGTCAAATAAATGTCCCCCTTATGCTACCACTTTTATTATTATTATTATTATTTTATTATTTATATAGCGCCATCAGATTCCGTAGCGCTGTACAAAGGGTGGACTAACAGACATTTAATTGTAACCAGACAACTCGACGTACAGGAACAGAGAGGTGGAGGGCCCTGCTCAATGAGCTTACATGCTAGAGGGAGTGGGGTATAGTGACACAAAGGGTAAAAGTAGGGGTAAAGTAAGTTGTTAGAAAAATATAAGCTGAGGGCTTAGTAGGTAATTTTTGACAGTTGCAGGAGAGGAGTCATGGAGGGTGGAGGATAAAAACCTGCTAACAGTTTAATTGATATGCTTTCTTGAAGAAGTGAGTTTTCAATGATTTTTTGAATGAGTGGAGACTGGGTGAAATTCTTATGGAGGAGGGAAGGGAGATCCACGGAAGAGGTGCAGCCCTGGAAAAGTCTTGCAGGCGAGCGTTAGAGGTGGGAGTACGGACAGAAGATATACGTAGGTCTTTGGCAGAGCGTAGGGGCCTCGATGGGACATACTTGTGTATTAGGAAGGATAGGTAGGTTGGAGCAGCATTATTTAGGGACTTGTAAGCAAGCACCAGAATTTTAAATTGAGCCCTATATCTAAGTGGGAGCCAATTCAGGGACTGACAGAGCGGGGAGGTGTGGGAGGTGCGAGTGGAAAGGAAAATTAGCCTTGCCGCCGTATTCATTACAGATTGCAACGGAACATGTAAGACCACTGAGAAAAGTGTTGCAGTAGTCCAGGCGAGAGAAAACAAGAGCATGGACCAGCACCTTAGCCGCATCCGGGGTTAGATAGGGGCGGATGCGACTGGCCTGTTTTTGAGATGGAAGCGACAGGATTTGGCGATTGATTGGATGTGAGGGGTAAAGGAGAGGTTGGAATCAAAAAGAACACCCAGGCAGCAAGCCTGCGAGGTAGAGGTGATGGTAGCGCTGTTGACTTGGAGGGAGACAGATACGGGAGTAGTAACACTTGAGGGAGGAAACACCAAAAGTTCTGTTTTGGGCAGGTTGAGTTTAAGAAAGTGAGCAGCCATCCATTTGGAAATTGAAGAGAGGCAGTCAGAAACATGAGTGGAGAGAGATCAGGAGAGGACAGGTAAGTTTGCGTGTCATCAGCATAGAAATGATAATGAAAGCCAAAGGAGCTGATGAGTTTACCAAGGGAGGCAGTGTAGATAGGGAACAGTAGGGGACCAAGGACAGAACCTTGGGGGACGCCGACAGAGAGTGGTTGGGGGGAGGAGGCAGAGTCAGAGAAAGAAACACTTAAAGAGCGCTGGGAGAGGTAGGAGGAGCACCAGAAGAGAGTAGTATCCCGTAGACCAAAATTACAGAGAATGCGAAGAAGCTGTTGATGATCAACAGTATCAAAGGCAGCAGAGAGATCAAGGAGAGTTAGGATAGAGTAATGGCCGCGAGATTTAGCAGCAATTAAATCGTTGGATACTTTGGTCACAGCTGTTTCGACAGAATGACTAGCGCGGAATCCAGATTTAAGGGGGTCAAGCAGAGAGTTGGTTTCGAGAAAGTCACAACTCTCTCGAGAATATTGGAGGCAAATGGCAGTAGCGAGATAGGGCGGTAGTTGGATGGGGAGTTGGGGTCGAGGCTGGGCTTTTTCAGAATTGGGGTTATGGTTGTATATTTGAAGGGTGAGGGAAATGTGCCAGAGGAAAGGGAGAGATTGAAAATTTTAGTGAGGGGAAGAGCTAGAGAGGGAGACATAGTGCGGATGAGATATGAAGGAATAGGATTGAGGGAACAGGTGGTTCGGCGGGAGGACCGGAGCAGAGAAGAAACCTCTTCTTATACACATACACTGACAGATGTTATCTGACACATATTCACTGTCAGGCATGCAGCCATTGACACACACACTGTGTAGCTAACACACACTTTCACTGACAGACAAAAACATTCTCACTGACGGACACACAATGACATACACTCACTGAGAGACACATACTCTCAGATACACATACACTCACATACACGCACTGACAGACATACACACAATTACTGACAGACACAGACACACACTCACTGACAGACACACACTGACAAAAAACTTGTTGACAGACACACACTCTCACTGATTTGACACTCACTGACAGACAGACACACTCACTCACTGACAGACACAATCACCAAGAAACACACACACTTACTGACACACATTCATACTGACAGATAAACACTCTCGCTGATTTGACACTGACAGATACACACTCACTGACATCCACACACTCACTGATACACACACACTCTCACTCATTTAACACTCACTGACATGCACTCACTGACACACACACTTACAGATACATACTTACATTGATTTCACACACATATTGTACTGATCTGACACACAGGCTCACTAACTGAATTTACACACTGACAGACGCACATACACTCACTGATTTGACACACACTGACACACACTCACTGACAGACACATTCACTGACAGACACACACTTACTGACATACACACACTGACAGACACATACTCACTAATAGACACACACTGATAAGCACATTCTCACTGACAGATACACTCACTGAGAGACACACTCACTGACATACACACACTGACAGATACACACTCTCATTGATTTGACACTCACTGACAGACACACTCACACTCTCACTGAAGGACTCACACTCACTGACACACACACACACACACACACACTGACATACTGATAGATAGACACACACACTCACTGATTTGACACACACACATATACACCTTCTCTCAGACACACTCACAAGCTAATTTTATTTATAGTGGGGAGGGTGGGGGGTTAACCCTCCTCCAGCCTCTCTACCTTTGGGAGGGCCCAGTTGCACTCACAGCCTCAGTGACCCCTATCACTGTCCCTATGTGTGTCTCTTACTTACTCCTGCCCCTTTGCCTGTTTCTTACACCCCTCAGCCCCTTTGAGTGTCACATTCTCCCCAGCCCCTCTGTGTGTCTCTCTTACCAGCACCTTTGTGGGTCTCTTTTGTAGGAACAGAAACCGGTCGGTAAGTGAGGAGTGTCTGTAATATCTAATCAAAACAATAACATAGCTTCGATGAATATCTCAGATTCCAAGCCATCTATTTTCACTATATAATTTTAACTGTCTGCTTGATATATAAAGTGCAATTATGTCTTTTTTTTCTGATATGAAATAATAATGCATGTGGTGTTCATTATGACAAGCTTGCTTCAGGTGCATATTAAGATAATGTATATTTTGTGAATAGTGAATTGCGAAAACTGCTTGACTAGTACCATCAAGTTATCCCTAACACCCCCAGCAATAGAATTCACAGTCATTAATGCCGGTACAAAAACATTTGTGACTT